AGACTATTTTATATGATTCACATGCTAAAGCCAGGATTGTGTTGGGTTGAATATATTTTAAGTATCAGAAGTCTATTTTTACCTACTGTATCTTGGGATCTAGCTGATGGAAAATACCTAATTGCGGATGATTATCGTGTAGGGGAGGGGTTTGTGGCGCCTCTTCCGAGTGGGTTTTCTATTTGAACATGTGCCTTTTCTGAATTATGCTTCCACAGGCAAAACTCAGTAGATGTCTCTATTTTTGTACTGAATCTCATAATTGGAATATATGGAATAGTTAAGCAGTAGCTTAGCATCAGAGGTTTGCCTTCTCAGTAACATTCCTGTTCTCATTTGATCAGAGGAGGCCTCTTTGCCCCCGAATCCACTTCTCCCACCCCCTGTGCATTTGTACTCCACTTTTTCTTCCTTTTTCCCCTCCCAGTTTTCTCCAAAGACTCTTCTGTTGGCAACATTTTCAGCCCATTGGTTGGGTGAGAATGGGGACTGAACGTCACCTTGAGAATTTCTGTGGGCGGGAGTGGGAGAAGCAGAGGGATCCTATGGTAACATAATTCCTTTTCTTGTTCTTGTTTCGTTCTTTTTCTCGTTTCTGTATCTGGTAAGAAGGACTATTTAAAGGTGCAATATGTGACTTAGTGATTCATGATGCTCTAGGTTTTTAGTAATGTTTTACTCAGGTTGGCATTTTATGTGTGTCTGTGTGTGTGTGTGTGTGTGTGTGTGTGTGTGTGTGTGTGAGTGTGTGAGTTTAACAGCGTGGCAATCTGTGAACACTTCAGTGTGAATTCAGTGTCAGATCAATCCCTCTTCCCCCAAAGTCCATTGGCTTTAGTCTCTATCTGCAGTGACACATATCGGAATCTACTGTGTATATATATATGTGTATATACATATACTAAACTCTCCACAACAGTCATTCCTATGAATCGAGGTGTACAAAGTTTGAATTTGTATCAAAGATGTAATTATTATTTTTAAAACCTCTTTTCACTATACTGCTGCTGTAATTACTTTGATTTTTTTAAATGTAGATTCTTTTTTTTTTTGCTTCAGGTGTGTATCCACCAAGCATTTCAGAATTTATGTGGGTTTATTGGTACATAATCTGTAAACTTCTCAAGGCATTAACATGAAAGGATTTGTTTTCTTTTTATTTTATATCGTGGCTCAGGTTATATTCTGAAGAAGTTTTTGACTTTATCCTCCTCCAGTAGACAATGAAGTGTACAAGGTTTTATGAAGGAGTAACCAAGTCCCTGGAGTCCTGTGGCCGTTTTCCACAGTAACGCAGCCTGCTGTAAACAGGACACGTGTGTCCTCCTAGAGTGGGAACGAGGTCTCTCCCAGTGCCCTGGTCGCTGTCGACCTCGGTCTGGGGGCCTGTCTCCCGACGCTGCCACGCTCCTCACCTCACCGGCACTTTGATGACGGACTGGACGTGTTAATGGGTATTTTAGGTTATAAGGGGTGAACCACGACGTACTTAGAGCCCTCGACGTGGTTCCGAGGTGTAGTGCTGTCTGTCTTTTGTTCCCCCTTCCCTTTGAGGTACTGAGAGGATTAAGATAAGGGGTCATGGTGGTGGCATGTTTTGGGGAGAATCTTACTTCTCCACTGGAAATTGCACTTTTTGCTGAATCCTTTGCATTTTTTGGTAGCACACAGTTTGTTTAGTATCGGGTCCTTAAGGGATGCGTTGGCCAGGCCAGGTCGGGTCCTCTTGACCTAACTTCAGAGGGGACTTGGCTCTGTAGGTGTGAATTAGGGAAGCCATGCTGTCCCGGGGTGTTGAGTGAAGCTGGGTTTGGGCAGATTGCTTCCTTCCAGACCACACCTTCATGCAGGTCTGGCCCCAGCTGGTGCAGATGTCAGAGAGGCCCATAACTTCTTTCAGAGGTCCCTGTCCAGGCAGCAGTTCTGTGGGCCCTGCCCCTTCCCTTCTCATTTGTCCGAAACCATCGTGGTGAGTGTCTAGGTAGATCCCACAGAGATCCTCAGCCCTGCCCTGCCCACATC